AAAAAAAAAAACGTGGCCGACAGATGAAGTTACATAAGAAAAAGAGGGAGATGGTGATTTGTTGGGGAAGAAGGCAAAAATAAAATATTATTATTTATGTAGATTAGGTAAAAAATAAAAAATAAATAATATGTAAATGGGTATGATAGTGGGATGATGTCACACAAGAATTTTTTTTTGAGTTATTTTAATAAGAGGGATTTAAATGGAAGTTGAATAGAGGGGTAGGGAGTGTAGTAGAAAGAAATAATGCCTAGGGACTGACATGGAAGTTTGAAAAAGGATTAGGGATTTTTAAAGAAGTGTCCCATGAATATCTAGGTATTTTAATATGTTTATATACTTTTATTCTATTTTTAATAAAAAAAAAAAATTCATAAATAAGTACAACCAACATTGAGAGCTATAAAATAGCGAGGAGGGCTGCAAAGCGTACCGTGAGTGTAGCGAAGAGTCAGCTATTTTATTCCGGGCATTTGACCATCCTGACTGACATCGGGCAGGCAGCTTCGGTGTAGCTACGGTATCCCAAACTTAGTTGTGAAAAAGAAAAGCTTCGTAGCCGGTTCGAATAGAATATTCTATTATAATAGAATATTTAAATTTATTTTAGTTTTCAAATTTAAAATAAGGGAACCCAAATAAATTCACTAATTATGTTTTTATCACATAATCTTATTTTAATTAAATGTCAATAAAGTGTGCTCTACGGTCGCACTATCCTTTAGAAAATGATGTTCTTTATGCGTCGGACTATTGTGGAAAATTTGTTATTTTAACGAGAAATTCCGGCCACCTAATAATTGACTGGAATAGCTTGTTATTCAAACTGTTGCCTTTGATAGACTAATTATATAAAATTGTTTTAGAGCATTTTTATCAGTCCAAAGTTTTATAACTATATTTTTCACTTTTTTAACATGACAAAATATTTTAATTCACATTTTTATTCTTACATTCGGAAATTTCGTATAACATAAAATTAATAAACCTTCTTTTTAATGGGTGCGGCATGTTTCTCACTTTCTTTATAAATAAATACTTACTAGTACAACGCCCGTGTATTACACAGGTGTTTGCTATTTTTTTTCTTAAAATCTAAAATTAATGAGAAAAAATAGTTGAAAATTTAAATACCTTTTATAAAAATATATATTATTATATATTTAGTTGACACTTTTTATTTGTGCAACTTACTGTGTTATATTATGATATTTTTTCTAACTTACAACATATAACTACATTAAACATAAATATATCAATTGAGATATACTTTTATTTTTCTAATGAATTTTAATAAATATTATTATTTATTATTATTATAAAGATAAATATAATTTATTTATTTCATATATACAATATGAATGTCAAATCGAAGATCATCAAAAGATGATTAATTTGATATATTATATATGTAAAACCGATAAGAAATACAAAAGTTATCAACTTTTAAATACATTTATAATTTAATAGCTTATTGAAGGAAACAAATCAAAATTCAGGGATATATTAGTACTTAGTGCCTCACTATGTAAAATTATAAAGAATTAAAGGGTTATATTAGTAAAAATGATATTAAGATACCTAAGTTAGCTAAATAATATTTATGGAATACCCGAACCTAAATTATTAATTATTAATATATCAATATTATTTATTCGAATCTAAATACGAAGCATGATTATTCGCTAAATATGATTACGAAGCACCAGAAGCAGTCAGCGCATTCTCTAATTAGATATAGGAGGATTATAACCAATTTATTTTTTATATTTCAGTAATAATAAATATCATAATTTAGTTATTCAGGTATTAAGAGAACATGAAAAAGAAAACTTGAAATGGCTTCTAATAAATTAAACCAAAAAGAAATAAAAATCAACGTAGCCACCACACATGGCGGTCGTCCCTGGAGCTTGCAGCGCAAATGTCGATCACTATAAGCTCATGGTGGAGGTGACATGGCTGCCTCAGATTTCTCCGGCACAAGGGACACGTGGCGTGCCCGTACCCGAGCCACCGGTCCAAGCACACAGCGTGAAACAAATGTTGGCACCTCAATTCCCGAACATCGTCCCCTTGTCCAATTCGGCACAAGCAAACAGCACACTCTTCAGACTCCTCGAGATCGCCACCCTTCTCGTACGTGCTCATGTCGGCATATTCTCTTAAAAATTGATCGGGGCCGCGAGGCTGAAAGAAAGATTGGAAGAGAATGAAATCCCACGCCCATTTGAACTGCGTGATGATGAGGATCAAGTGGGATAACAAGGCTGATCTTGGCATGATTTGATTAAGCATTCTCGATCGGATTTTAGCTAGTTGAATTTATATATATATTTTTTTTCACTTTATATTTTGTTGTGTGGTCATCAGTTTTGATTATTTTGCAGTTGGAGAGGGGAAAGTATATATATAGGCACACGTAGATTAGATTTGGTGGGCTGGGGTTTTACTTTCTACAGTTTTTCTTCAGTCAAGAGCAAATTAATAGAATATTTCTGTTCCAAAAGAAAAAAAATAGTATTGATAATTAGCGCATTCATGATTGTTAATCCCTGCATACAATAATATTAAAATTTCTAATTTCTACGTATTTTTGTTGAAACTATTTTTATGTATGCTTGTGTTGACTTCACGACTTCTATCTTTTTTTTTTTTGTT